ATATATATATATATGCCACTAATTAACTATTCTCAATTCATTTACTAATTAACTAGACACAAAATTTAAGAAAAAAAATAATTTTTAAAAAATTTTTGGTCTAAAGAAATCCTTAAAAGTTTGTATGACTAGAGATCATCTCATAGATAAAAGGAGAATTTTAAATTTTGAATTAGTTTTAAGTATAAAAAGGCAATTCATTTTGGACAACTAAAAAAGAAAATATATCATATAAATTGGGACAAGAAGAATAATATTTAATATTTACATTGTGCTAGAAATGCTATAAAATATCACATAAGTACTGTGAAGTTAACTCGAAAACCTTGTAACTGTTTCCACCCAACAAAAAAACTAACTCAGCTGATTATCATTTAAAAAAAAAAACTCCAATAAAAAAGAAAAGCCAAAACTAATAAAAAGTTCAAAAGTTAGTTATCACACGAGGCACTTCGAGATAACGCGCGCGGCTGGCTATCTTGCTTATAAATAGTGGCGGTAAGTTGTAAATCTCCTCCCACTCTCTCTCTCTCTTGTGAATTTAGTAGTAGAAGAAAGAATCAAGAAGTTCAAAATGTCTAATCAACGAAGGGGTAAAGAAGTTCAAACGCAAGAAGTTGATGATAGAGAAAGAGATGCAACAATGGCGCCCACAGTAACAGAGCCTATCTTTCACTACTTGTCTGATGATGATCTAGAAGATCATCACATTACTAAGAAGTTAAGAACTGCTGGTTCTTTCCAAATCAATGACTGCAATCTAAGTACGTCACTCCATTTCTGATTATTGTTAATTTTCCAATTTAAAAACCCCTGTTTCGTTCTTTATATGAATAATCGTAATGGTGCATGGTAAGAAAGTTCACATGGTTTTTGTTAATTGCAGTGATCAAGAATGTATCTGAAACTGATACTACAGTGGACCCTAGAGATATAGTGCACGAAACAATATTGGAGAAAGTCAGGAATGAGGAACCAATCATCACCAATGAAGAAAAGATTGAGGATCATACTCTGCAACTCACCACTTCTGGGTATATATATTTATTTTCTTGTTTGATCATTATCCGACTGTGATTCTTGAAGTACTCCATTATATTTTAGATTGATTTACTGTTGTATATATATGTATGTGCAGAGGCCAAATGATTACATCTACAAAAAGAGAAGAGTTTTTTTCCAAGAGACTATCAAAATATGATCTTGACCGTAGCTTTGGCGGTGGCTTAAAACTCCCATTGAAACTAGTCACAGACAAAATCCTCGTTCATATTTCTGCACCTGCTGATGGTGGTGAAGGAAAACCACTAACTTTAGTTGATCATGAGGGGGAAAAGTGGGACATGTTATTTGTGCTTAAAAGCAACAAATATTATATCAGAGGAAAATGGTATAACTATGTGGAAAAATATGAATTGAAAGATTCAGACACCATCATTATTGAGAAGATAACAATTAGCAAGGAGCAAGTAAAAGAAGAAGTGGATTTTGCTGCAGTGAATCAGATTGGGGATCACGATTGGGACGCCATCTGTAGAGATCAGCAAATTGAAACTAAAGATAAAGGCAAAGCTGAAGTGGACGTTGAAGTTGCGTATGAAATCACAATTGAGAGAGCCCCTGGAAATACTGCAACAGAGCAAGAAGATGATGACAGTAGATGAGGAGTAAGCTAGTCTCTTATGTGATATTTGTAGACAGTAGCTAGCTAGAAATAATCCATTAGTATTGGAGTTTGATAGATAAACAGAATATATAGTGGTATGAAAATAGATTTCAGTACACCTTATTGTTTCATACTCATAGACAGAACCTTATTGTGCTTACATGTATCAAGTTTGTTGGTTGTCAATGGATGTCTCTCAGTATAGTATAAAACAAATATATGTGAATTTTGATAAATGTATGGATCTCCTTACTGATAAAGTCCCTACATTTTGGTGTAATGGCTATTTACAACATTGAATGTATTACTGCTATGGAATGAAGAAATTGGTGCCGCCGGCCAACCAGAAAGGATCATCAGCTCCATATTCTGACTCACAGCTGCTGGCCCTCTCTGTTTAATGCCACGTCTCTGGTATGTAATTTCATATTCTGACTCACAGCTACTTGAAGTTTGATTCAGCTGATGATGATCATGGTGCACTGTTACCTTGTCAAGAAGTGAAGTTAACAATTTGTGTTTATCAGCATATTCCTCCCATCCTTCTCCAAGATAGTATTCATCCTCCACCCTATGCACCAATTCCACTGCACAAAAACTGTTCCCAATTATAGGTTCACTTTTCGACATATGTTATCATCTTCTAAACGGAGACGATCAGAGTTCTAAAATGAATATGGTTTTCAACTTTCACCGTAATTTATAGCTCTAGCTACCATGAGGTGTACCGTACACCCTTACTTATTCAAACGGCATTTTCTTTTATTTCCCAACTAGAATAAGAATATATACTTACAAATAACTGAGGGATTAAACGTATAATTTTTCCTAAGAATGTAGTATACACTTCTTATTCATCTTATGTATCGATACAAGTTAATTTTTACTCATATAGAAATAGGGATTAGTACTGGGTTTGGATCCTTATTTGTAATTTTAATTTCCCTGATGATTTGCTTGAGAGAATAAGGATCATAAAGTGTGACAGTGTAGTCTCCAAGAAAACCATAATATTTATAAAGTCCTTTGGAATTAGTTTTCCCATTTAGCTCGGGCGTTCTCCATTCTGCCATGAGCTTGTCGACAACATCTCCTGCTCTCGTGTTCTTGAAATTGTCATCGGTCAAGCATAAGCCAGTGCAATTTGCTCCTGGCTTCCATGGTGCCCACACTATCATTCCTTCCACTCCTGGATGTGCAAATGCCTCTCTCATTATTTCTTCCAAGTAAACTGCCTGTTACATCATAGAGCATATTCTTTGTCAACAAAAATTGCTATATAGGACTGACCTTAAGAAGAGAAAAGGGCAGTCCAGTGCACAATGGGCATTAAAGCAGTGGTTAGTACCTGATTTGTGGTGTTCTGGACATCCATTTCAGTTAGCCAAATGGGCATTTTGGTTTCACTGAGAAAATCAAAGACAGCTCGTATATAAGGCATATTTGGTTTTCCTGAAGGAAAATGAGCTTGTAGTCCAAATCCTATGGTCAAGTTCTCGTTGCCTGGATATGACCTGATCTCTCTAAACCTTTTTATATACTTGTGTGGGCCTGCATATATATCTCCTGGAATTTCAAGGGTGTTAAAATCATTCAGATATAAAGTTGCATTAGGATCTATCACATGGGCTATATGATAGAACATCCCAGAAGCCTGTGGTCCAATCTTATCTTCGAAAAAATGGAAGTGCAAGTTCTCATTCACGACGTCCCACTCGAAAATATCATTCAAGTATCGAGCCATGACAGCGGCCAGACGCCTCACGGCTGTAGCTAAAAGCTCTTTGGGTGTCATGCGGTGCAGCCAATCCTGATTCATTTTAGGTTTGTCCCATAGAACAGTGTGGCCTCTAATTGCTATCCCATGATCCTTGAAGAATTGGAACATGGCATCTGGTACTGTGTAGTTTTCTATCCCTTGACGACTTTCAGTCCAGTACCACTTCATTTGATTGGTGAATACACTTGCTGTAAAACCCTTTTGAAGAAACCATTCTTGATATTTCTTGTATCGGAGGAAGGTATCTGTAACACCACAACCAACATGGAAAAGGGGTTTTCTGAACTTGATGTTTACTTTCACTCCCCGGATTGGTCTTGCTAATTTGTCCGTTATTTGCAGCAAAATTTTCCTCTTTCTTACCTGCACAAGTCCATACAACCATATTTCAGAGTCAGTCGGTTCAGAACGAGTTTCATTCATTATACATCTTTTACATATGCATACCATATGGTTCATATAAGAAATATCAGCGAGTACTGTGGGACCTGTTTAGATCCACAATAATATATACTTCCTTTTCTTATTAGTCACATTTCTATATTTGGAAATTATTTAATTTTAAACTTTCATTTTATCGTAAGTGAAAATCTTTTATAGCCACGTAAATGTGATGACCCCATAAAGTTTTAACCCTTTAACCTTACAAGATCACAAGTTTCAAAAATCTTTTTTTTTAAATTCTTTTTCGAGTCAACTACATCACAAAAATTGAAACAGTAATAAAATTATAGACGTGTAAATAGCTTACCCGCCTTATGGCTCTCTGTTGGTGTACAAGCCATTCGGTTTGGTTGAACTCCTTCAGGGAAACATTATCCACCCAAAATTCAACGGTCTTATTGTAACACTGAAATAACAAAAGTTATTAGTACCAAGAGATATCAACTTGTATGCACATGTGAAAGTTTCATTATAATGACTAGTTTTATCAGTTAATGCAGGACTAGGATCTACAGAAATTGCCAGAATGAGTATGTCGAAAAATGTAGAGGAGAAGAAACTTAGTAGTTTAAGTTATTCGCACTAGCAATGTAAATAATATTTACATAAAAAGTCCTTTAAATTTACAAAAGCGTTCACTTTTGATTAACTTCAGGCAGAAAACCATTTTGTGAAAAGACACTTACTCATCTCTAATGGAACCAGTGCCAGCTCCATGCTGAAGCAAGTACGGCACACTTATTTTAGGCCCCCAAATTTGGGGGCACAATTTTTTTAGCAATAATAGATTTATAGTTTTCTTTGAAAAAAGTACTCCTATTAAGTACTTTTAGTAGAAAAGTAAATTTTTTCATATAAAATGAAAGATATAATTTTCTTATATACGTGAATAAACCAGAATAATTATTATGGGATGCCAGTTACCATCTTATACTAGTTACTAATCAATTAATGCTTGATATAGAGAATCACTTGTAACTTATGTAAGTGACATGATAATAGTATAAAAATGTTTTCACTCAAAAGTATAAAAGTTTACTCCAAATAAAAAGTGAAATTGACACTAGTAAATGTATATGCGATTTTTTATTTAATTATAAAAATAGATTAAGAAGTAGATGTAAGGGCTTACTAGGAAATGGAGATCAGTTAGAAGAGGAAATTCTGGTTGAAAGCCTCCTTTAAGCATGGTCCAACAACCAGGATAGGCATTTCCAGAGGCAATAACCCTCATTGAGTTTCCAGGAGTTGTTATTACAGCAGACACCGTTGTCTCACTTCCTTCACTAACTCGCACCCAAGCTGGAAAAGAAAAAAAGAAAAAGGATTTCATAATAACAAACCAACCGAACAAGTAGAGGGCAACCCGGTGTACGAAGCATTCCGCATTCACATGTAGAATCCGGGGAAGGGCCGCAACCCTAGACAGTCTACCCCAATACAAATATTAGTGGCTAAACCATGACCTATAGGTTATACAGACACAACTTTATCATTGCTCTAAGGCTCCAATTTTAATTCATGAACAAGTAAATACCTGAAAATGTATAATATTTCCCTTTGTCCATATAAACTTGTTGGGAGAAAGTTTTATTATTCTGGCTCCTATTATAGGCCACCATGAAGTTGTTCCCCGAAAAAGTCCGTCTTACTTCAAGGCTGGCACCTGCATAAGATGTCCATCCCTCCAACCCTAGCTCAAATTTAGGGTTTCTCAGCTTTCCTCCTTTATATTGAACTCGTTGAGGCTCAGCCAAGCACTGATAATAATGAGAATGAATATTAATAAGTTTATCACCCCTTAGTGTATATATATATAATAGTATTACATCCCTGCGTACGGAGTCGCCTTTGTTAGGGAGTGCTTTACCCCCAATGTGGGACTTCCCGACACGAATCCGGATGTAGTCGGGCCCCAATATGGGTACCGAACACCGGGCGGAAAAAAAAAAAAAAAAAAACTAACAAGTAAAGATTGTTACAAAAATAAGGTTGTTACTTCAATACTGGCATTGTAATTATAAGCTGCTCCATCAACTCCATGTCCTCCTAAAGGAACCACAAATAGTTTGTAAGAAACACAACTTTAATTTATAATAGACAACTACATTATATGAAGATTTAAAGGGGGAATCTTTAGGGGAAACTAGAAATAGATTATCTAAACTTTCAATGGTCTTATTTTTAATTAATTTCTTTACCTAAAACCAAAATTGGGAAAACGGAAAAAAGAAATAAGGGGACTTTAACCTTCAAAAAATAGGAGGCAACATAGAATTACTCCATATGCACACGAAACTGTCGTAAGAAAAAGATCCTGAAAAGTAAGTGGAGTAAAGATCAACGAAAGAAGAAATTGAAGAGGAATTCATAAAATTTCTCTAAAAAGAAGAATATAATGCATTGGAATATTATGATTACTACCACTGCCATCTCAACTGTCTGAGGAATAATCTTTTTCTTTTTTATCAAAAGGCCACAATTCTCAAGATTGTGGTCTTGACAAGTTTGTTGCAGAGGATATGAGAGCCTGGTAATTCACCAGAAGTTGAATAACTCCCAAGAACCGAATAGTAACGTTATATTTGGAAAACATAAAAATAAAAAGAGTAATTAAGTTATAATTAATTCTTCCCAATTAATTAACTGCTTACGTTCACTTTCTTAATTAACTTCTATACATTTGACCATTTCCTTAGATTCTCTTTCTTTTAAAGAACAAATTGAGTAAGTTACTCTCGTACGTACGTGGACATATATATGATGGTAAAAACTAAAAAGTCATAATGCCAGATAAATTATTCTCATAAGGCATAGAGGTGGGGCATCTACACCATAGAATATAGGAGTATTAACTATTTGGAAGCATGAAATACGATCCTAGTTTTTCATTCCCTTTGTTTCCTTTTCTTTCTTTCTGCTCTTTTTCCTAGTATATTAGAATATCAACAAAGGCTAAAAAAAAAATGAAACATGTTATATTAATTTGAGCTTGTTTGATAGTATTGGATCGAGATTCGAGACAACTTAAATGGAGCGAGATACACGGTGATGATTCATAAATGTAGTAGTAATATAATTCATATATATACATGGTAGAAACTAGCTAGAGAGGATTTGCACTTCAATTTACCCTCTCAAACTATGGTGAGAGGCACAAATTATATACTCCAATGTGGAAATGATATTCTGCCTCCTCGCAGTGCATTTTCTAGCTAACTTGAGAAATTTCTAGCAAAGATTGAATAAAAAAGACAAAAGGAATTATCACAAGGGAGGAAAATTAAAAAACTTTGCTTGTGGAAGATAACGCATATTACTAATCTTGATAACTACTTTAGTAAAGTCATCTTAGACCCTTTGACTAAATATTTCCTTCTTTTTTGCTTTCTTTTTCCTTGGAAAACTCAACAAGCATTGTCCAGTAAACTAGAAAAAATGGGAGCTATCAATATGCATAATATATATGTAGGAGTAACATTTAATGGTAAATTTGTCAAATATAACTAGAAAAGAAAACACTAGCAATAAACATTTTAAGAAAGCAGGGGTTTCTGCTGCATGCAAAACTTTCTCCTAGAAAAGAATTAATGTAGAAAATATTAGACATGCCAATTGCCTGTTCACCGATAATGCAGAAAAGATTTGGAGGGTACTTGAGCAACATTGCTGCAGCATATTAACATATAAACAATTTGAGCATGAATATCTATAGAACTACAATTTGTGGCAATGAAAAACTGTTTGAAGCTACTTAGAGTGATGGCTTATAGTTCAATGAAGTGCAGCTCTCCGTACGCGATAGACTAGTATCCTATACTGACCACTCTCTTTGTGCAATGACCATAATAACCTTTACCCTTGCTGTTAATTTGGTTTCACAGATGATGTTCTCTGATAAGTGATTTCATAGTAATAGGAGTTGTTGACCAGCTGATCGTCTGTTTGATCAATGAATACATTCTGCACTCGGACGTAGCTCATCTCGGTTCACAGTTACCTTGCTGACAAAGACAGTGTCAAATATTAACAAGTTATGCTGCGCTGCATATTCCTTCCATATTCCTCTTCCTCCAAGATACTATTTGTCTTCCTCAGTATGCATCAACTCCATTACGTAAACTTTTTCTCCAATTGGATCAAATATAAGTAGAGTTATTTCTCCTCCTAATCCAGGAAGAGGAAGTTCACACAGATTCTCTTCTACTTGTTTCTTTGGTAACTGTAAGCCATTGAAATTGATCTTCACAACGTAAATTCTTAGCAACCACTAGTTCTTCCACTATTGATACACTGCAAAAAGAAAGTATATTCAACTCTCTTACTTAGCCTTATTCAAGAAACGAGAAAGTAAGGAATGGAAAAGACGTACTAGGGATCTCGCCGAACAGCAATCAATTGTGATATGATCAATCTCGCATCCTCTTCATCTTTCGTAACCAGTTTCCAACAAATGATTACATATAAATTCTGATGACCCAAATCTTCTGATCCTGTATCATTTGCATTTTGGTTTTTCTTCTTATAAATAGATATCACATCCCCATATGTCAACTTGTGTTCATCCCTACATCTCTGCCACCCTGTTCTAAGATAGTAATATCCAAAATTTGTGTGCACAAATTCCATTCTGAAGTGGTTCCCACGAACATCTTCAAATTCTAACATCTTGGAATTACCTGGTGCAAGACGAGGGAAATGATCTTCTGCGTACTTCTTTGAGATTAACACGCTATGAACATCAGTTTCCCATAAAAACTTGACAAACACATTACTCTGATTGTCATTTTGAGCTTCCATAGTGTTTTCTTGAGGGATCTCTGATTGCTTTTTGAATTGTTCTTGGTTCCGTTCAAAAAGATTGGACGCAAATTTTATTTGTTGAAGAAGACAAGAAAACAGAGCTCAGTAAGAAGGCCACTCTGTTGCCGAGAGGAGTTAGCTATTGTTTTTCTCCAATAGGGAGCTTCATTAAGGCGCCAAGTTAGTTACAAATTCGGTTGCATTCTTTTCTCTCTTTTTTTTTTCTTTTCTTTTTTTCTCTCTTTATTCTTGTAAGAGTGCATTACAAAAATAAAAATGGGTGAAGGGTAAATTAAGGGGTCGTTTGGTTTGAGTTTATTATCTGTATGCTAATGGTAAAAAAATATTTATTGAACTAAGTTATTTAAAAGGTAACTACATGCAAATATATTTAATAAATATTAATTAATAACTTAAATAGATTGTACACTACAATAGGTTAAATTCCACTAATTGTGTAAATTTTTTGGATTTATGTTGTATACACTAACAACGTAATTTTTTTTTTAGACTGTCAGTGTGATTTAACATATGGGTTATTATTTACCTATTATTACCTTACAAATAATCTGATCGTGTAAGTATGTTTTCACCGTCAATATATAATTAGAACTCAAACTAATTTTATCGTGCATTTGCAGTTTATTTAACTTAAATCCAAACTCTTTTTTTACTATGGAAAGGATATTAAGCCACCTCAGAGTGCATTTTCCGGCTAATTTAGAGAATACTTCTGCAAAAGAATAAATAAAAAAGGCCGAAAATATATTCATAAGGGAGGAAAAGTAAAATAATAACATTGCTAGTAGAAGATCAACATGCATCTGGTTAACTACTTTGGTAAAGTCAGCTATGCCCCTTTGCCCAAATATTTCCTTCTCTCTCCCCCTCCCCTCCTTACGATGGATAACTCTAACATGCATTGTCTAGTAAATTAGAAAATTGGGAACAAATAATTATAAAAAATATTTTTCTCAAGTAAACTGGAAATATGAGTCAATTATCACATTGGCAATTGTCAAATTGGTATCTTGGATTTACTCCGTTTGCCGAACAACTTAATTTTAAAAATTTTATTGGCTACGGGATCTTAGTCTACCAAAAAAATTTACCAATTTAAATCATTCCCCAAGTCTTGGTGTTTATGTCGAACACATCCTAAAGAACTCATGTCTCCTGTTTTCTTTTAACTGTCTTTAGTGTTTACTATAACTTGAACAGTTAAAAGTAACTAGAAAGAATTCACTAGTGATCACGCCCAACTATGCTTTATAAAAAGGACTCTGCGGACGTTGCAAATATAATCCGAGTATTACGCCCAGGGTCGAATCCACAAAGAGTTAACCTATCAACCACTATCTTCAGACCCACTAATTCTTCAGAACCAGCTTCCCAAATATTCAAATCTCAGTTGAATATTCTTTAACAACTAGCTTGCAAGTAACTAAATAACTGTAAACTAAACTAATAAGGTTGTAAACAATTATGAGAAAAATGCTAAGGCAATGATTTCCCCTATTGATGGAATCCCTTCTGTTTATGTTCATACAAATTTACCAACACATCTCTATCAATCATGAACGCTAATCTTACCGTAAATCTCTCCTGAGTAATCACAGTAATTTACTATTGCACTCTCCCGAGATACACTAGCTTACTTTATTTAGCACGATTCACTTTAGATTACACCCAAGGCTTCGTTATCCCTAATCCCGCCTTTAAACCCGCAATTATAGATTCCTCTAATAATCTAGGAGTGGTGTTGTTCAACAATACCCTAAATATGTACTCTTTTCCAAGTTATGCACACTAAATAGGCACAGCTAATTGAGGATCGTGTCAATTAACTACAACAGACACGAAGTTGAACAAATAGAGATTAAACTAGCAATTTGTATTCACATAAACAAGAAGTTCATCACCCAATAGGTTCCATCAAAACCTTAGACAAGGAATTTAGCTACCCATGGCTATGGGAAGATAAACTAAGATTGAATTCATCATAAAAATCAAAAGTAAAGAAGAAAGATGTTTGGAGTATTCTCTCACAATGGTTTTCCTTGCTAAGAAACCTTAAAAATCAATACATTCCTCTCTTGGGCGAAGTCTAATGTTTTAAATAGGGTTTAGGTCTAAAAATCCCGTGTTTTATACTTTAGTCCCTGAAGTTTTTTGCTTCCGCCGCGGTTCTGCCGCGGTCGCGGTCAAACCGCGGCCAAAAGCCTTCTCTGATTCTGAATTCATCCGCAGCTGTCTTCTACCGCGGTTCTACCGCGGTCGCGGTGGAACCGCGGTCGCGGTGGAACCGCGGTCAAACCAGTGCTCTGAATCTTCGGCCTGTTTTGAGTGGTTTACTTGGGGAATTTCACAGTTGGCCTCTTTTTCATCAATTTTGACTCCAAAACTGCTCCTTAGCCTTCCTTATACATATATCACCTGCAAATCATGAAAAGCACTAATAAGAGCATTTTGTTATCACTTTTAGCATTAAAACTACACAAGAAGGTGATTATTTAAGGCGTAATTATAGTCAAATTCACCTATTATCAACACCCCACACTTAAACCTTTGCTCGTCCTCGAGCAAACTAAACCACACTTCTAGGCCTAACTGCTCAATGCATTGCCTCAATTTATGTCACACCTGCTATTATCACTGATCGACCTAAGCAGTGCACAATCATAGCTCAAATGCAGACTCTCAT